CCCCAAAACCCCAAAACCCCAAAACCCCTTGTAGACATAAATAATAGAAATAAATTGAGAAATGTATATTCGTACAGTTGAGTCATATAAGAAATCGTCAACGAAACCTCTGAAGCCGTACTCTAATCTGGCTCCTAGTTCATTTAATAAGAACAGAATTTTGGAGCCCAAGAGGAGAATTGCTAGAAGAGAGACCTTTTTAAAGGCTAATAATGACTGTAAGGGCTTAAGAAATTCATTAGAAATTGTATTTAATTAACATCTGAATTTGCTGCTTCTAAATTTCTGTTAATTTTGACACAGGATTGTAATGAATCATTATCTTATAGCGAGAGACATCAAAATAGCCAATAATCCCAATCCAAAAAGTCGGAGGAAATACAAAAGTGTTATCAAAACCGTATGAAAGACCTCCTATAATAGAATTTCTAAGTCAAGGGCGAACAGGAGGAAAAATTTACCTTCAAACCCTCCAGGAAATTACACAACAAGCCAGATGCCCTTAATAGCTTACAGTGAGACTGCAACTTCTATTCACAAGCAAATTTCTTCGAAGACTGGTTTGAGAGAAAGCTTTACAAATAAAACAGAATCTAGAGTTCTAACTCCCAATTCCAAAATTTATGAAAATAGTCAACCCATAGATATCAACCATGATAAGTTTGGCAAGATTATGAATAGAATTAGAGAACCTGCACAATACAAAGTACCTAAGATGAGGAATACAAATTATGCTCCAACCGACTTCTCAGAGGCAGCAAAGTCTGAATTTGAGGAAAAAGGCCAAAAAGCCCTCAAAGAACTTCAGCAGTTCTTTAACCGAGACAGCGTTTGAAATGATGAAGAAGGTGATAAAGTTGACAAAAGTGAGCCGATAAAATTCAAAGTTACAAAAATGGGGTTTGATAAGCCAGCCAAAGAAGAAGAGCCTAAATAGCAAACCTGCCTCTCTTAAGTTCCAGCTTTCTGACTTTCAAATTTTACACACACTTGGCAAAGGAGCATCAGGAGTAGTCAAACTTGCAAAACATAAGAAGAAAAATTGAAATGTGGTTTTGAAAATTTATGACAAGTATAAATTGATCGAAAGTCATTTAAAATAAATCGTTATTCAAAGAGATAGAGCTGCTAAAATGAGTTTCCCATCCCAACATAGTCAAACTTTATGATGTAATAGAAGATGATAGACATATTTATCTCATAATGGAGTATGTTAGTGGAGGTTCCCTTCAACAACAGATGAGGGCAAGATCAAAGAAAGTTACTGAGGCAGACACTAAGAAAATTTTCATGCAGTTATCAAGTGCAATAAAATACCTTCATTCAAAAAAGTAAGCTTATAAATTCAAAAATAGCATTTACCATAGAGACATAAAGTTGGATAATGTCCTGCTTGATTACAAAAGAAATGTTAAACTTATTGATTTTGGGTTTAGTATCAACTGTAAGCCAACAAATAAACTCAAGGTATTCTGAGGCACTCCTTGATACATGGCTCCGGAGATTATCAGCAAATAAACCATACCATGGAGGCCCTATAGATATGTGGGCACTGGGAGTTATTTTATATACTTTACTCATTGGCAAGTTTCCTTTCATAGGAAAATCTGAATCTGATCTTTATTCTAAAATAAAACAAGGGATTTTTAGCATCCCAGATACAATTTCATTTACAGCGAGAAAATTGCTAGGGAAAATGCTTACTCTAGATCCTGTAAAGAGGCCAACTGCTAATGAACTTTACTACGATGAATGGATCAGAGGAGATACGAAATGCTTCCGAAAAATGACACTAAAGATGATCAATGACCAATATTCAAATAATCCTCTTGTTAAATTAGTAAAGGGTGATAAATCTAATACAAAATCTCTTCTCTGAAACAAGAAAGATTGGAGGACTTCGACTAGATCTTCCCTATCTCACAAAAGAATTGATCCTGAGATACATCTTAAAGCAATTGATAAAATCCGAAGTATGGGATATAACTATAAATTGATTAATGAAAAGCTTGGTGATTGCACCTCTGATATCAATAGAATGTACAGGAACTTTATCAGATAATTTTCTTAAATTTCAACATTAAACTATCCATATGGGGTTTTGGGGTTTTGGGGTTTTGGGGTTTTGGGG